TGAGGAATTTTTTTCCATAGAAAAAAAACGTACCTCAGGTGCAGAGGATTTTTTCCCAAAGAAAAATATAGAAACAAATCCAGTTTGTGATGAATTTTTTCAATGACAAAAAGATTAGTTTTAAAGGGATTTTTTCTACTTATCGCACCTCAACATTTTTTTTTATTGACATCACTTTCTAAGTAGATTTCTATTGTAAATAAAAAACACCCGACCTTTTTATAGACCAAAATTCAGACCTCAGTTTCTGAGGATTCTTTTATAAAAAAACTTCAGCTTATCAGGATTTTTAGAGACAAAATCAGAGCTCGGAGGATTTATATTTATAGAAAAAAACAGAACTCAGCTTTGGAGGATTTATTCTACATGTTTCCTCAGTTTCAGAGGATATTTTCTATAAACAAAAAATCAGACCTCATTACAGCGGATTTTTTTCTACAAAAAAAATCAGACCTCAGTTTCTGAAGTTTTTTATAGAAAAAATCAGACTTCAGTTTCAGAGTATTTTTTCTGACCTCAGTTTCAGTTCAGACCTCAGTTTCTGAGGATTTTTTTTTCTATAGAAAAAAATAGACCTCGGTTCCTGAGAATTTATTTGTGTAGAAAAAAATCATATATCAGTTTCAAAAATGTTTTTCTATAGAAAATGAGATTTCAGTTTCTTAGGATTTATTTCTGTAACAAATAGCATACCTCAGTTTCAGAGGATTTTTTCTGTAGAAAAAAATCACACTTCAGTTTAAGGTCAGACCTCAGTTTTTTAGGATTTATTTCTATAGAAAAAAACAGACCTCTGTTTGTGAAGAATGTTTGCTATAGAAAAATTCACTCCTCTGTATCAGAGAATTTTTTCTATAGAAGCAAATCAGACCTCAGTATCTGAGTTTTTTTATAGAAAAATATCAGACCACAGTTTCTGAGGATGTTAATCCAAAAAAATTAATCAGACATTAATTTTTGAGGACCTCAGTTTCTGATATTTTTATTCTATAGAAAATTTCTCAAAAATCTATCTACAGTTTTTAATCATAGAAAAATAGAAAAAAATTATGAGGTATGATTTTTTTCTATAGAAATCAATCATATCGTATCTGAGGATAACTCAGGGACTGGGAGACCTCAGGAGAATGAGGTAGAAAACAATCACACCCCAGTCTCTGAGGATTTTTTTTCTAAAGTAAAAATCAGACTTCAGTTTTTGGGGATTTTTTTTTTCTATAGAAAAAATAGACCTCAGTCCCTGAGAATTTGTTTTTTCTATAGAACAAATCTTTTATAAAAGAAAATCCTCTTCTATATCTAGGATATATCTATAGAATTAAACTTAAAACTTTATACATAATAAAAATATATGTCCTTCTGTTTGGGTCCATCTATTTTGGTCGCCTGCCAATTGGCAACCCTAAATTAAAACTCTATGTGAAGCACATAGAGGGTATTGCGGAGTATGCACGATGTGAGCTTGCATACATTTTTTAATTGGTTGGAGTATACAACTTTTTTAGTCATTTGCTTTCTTTCTTTCGGTTTTTTATGTATATGTATGTCTATGTCTCTCACTGATATTCTTGTCCCCATTTCTATGACAACACTCCAAAAAACATAAAAGAGCAAAAGAAGACGAAGTACAGCGAACAACAACATCATAAACAGAAGAAGAGGAATAAACCTTTGTGTTATTACCGTGTTATATGTGTGTGTGTGATGTACATACATACATGACGTTTGCATACATATTATTTTTTAATCAAATATTGTTGCTTACAGTATGAACACACGTGCATACATACATGCATATAACACACACTCTAATGGGGCCAGGTGGGAATGGGAAGGTAGGAGGAGTATGGGGAAAACGTCAATCTGAACCTCATTTGATATGTTAGGCAAATATACAAAAAGAATTAAGAACTGTGCAATAAAAATTCTCTATATGAACAATATGCAATACAAATCCACAATGTAGCAACAACAACAAAAAAGAAGCTAGTCAAGAGGGTTTATTTCTATTGTGACTATGGCGAAAACAAGAAAGAAAAATTAAGTTATAATATTAGTTGGTATTTGTCGAATATTTATAGCTACAAACAAATTCGACACTTTAAAAATTAGAAATAGAGCAAAAGTGAAAACGTGGTTAAGTTCGACAGGCTGTCATCACTATAAGAAGGACACTGAAAATAACTAAAATCGTTCTAGACTTGTCATAGTATTGAAAAATGTCCACAAAGAAGAAGGACACTAAAACTTTAATACCGGAAAATATTCATCTTCCTAAATCTATTATAAAAATAGAAAGAAAGCCCCCAACCCTGTGTCGTTCCCAGCAATTAATTACGTTCACCTATTTTAAATTCCAAAGAAAGTGGAACAAAATATTAATTACCTTTCTGGGCGAATTAGATATTCAATAATTGCAATAATATTTCTTTTTCTCCATATTTTCCACTCAGGTCATATAATTAATATTAAATTCATTAAATTTTAATGACACCCCACCCAAAATATTGCAAAACACTTGGCATAATATTTACATTTAGGTTTCCTCTGTTTCTTGCCCCCGTCATAATAATATAAATATTAATTACATTAATGACAACAACAAAAAATCTCAAGTGATCCTTAAATGGGTGGTCGGAGGCTTAAAACCAAATACGGGATGCCATTTGCTAAACAAAAACAAAGAAACACACAACAACGACAACATCAAAATTTTTAATAGAATATAATGATAATGATTATAACCACCACCGTCAGGATGTATACTGAGAAAATCTAATTTTAATTAAAATTTATGTTTTTTTGTTTTTGTTGTATCCACAAAAGGTTCAGTAAACAAGCATTAACTAAATACAATATCCTATGGGGAACAAAAGGCAAAAAATACGAACCAGAGGCCCATAAAAAGCCAAGCCATTGACCCAGTTAATTGTGGACAAAACTCATTGACTTTTATTTGGTCGGTTTTTTACTCTTTCGTCGTCTCTCTTCTATTGTGCGGAGACCCAATTCGTTGAGTGGACTTCTTCCGAGATGCGAGTGCCAAAAGCAAAGGTGTACATTAAAATGAAACTTAAACAACAATTATCCATTGAAGGGAAAGCCTAACAGGAATTTACACCAATCTTCAAGTAAACATTGACTTATGGCGTCGTCATCGTAGCTTTTCACAAACACATTCACAAAGGTTGAAATTAGGTAAATACTTCGGAAAGAAGAAGAGGTAAAAGTATATACGGAAAAAGTAAAAATTAAATAAACAACAAATGTTGTTGTTTAAACGATTAAGGATAGGCGGCTTGACAAATTTAACAAAAGACAAATATTAAAGCGAAATTTGGAAATTTACTATGTGTGCTAACATAACACTTTGTAGAATATTTAAGGAGTTATTTACAAATAGGGAATGGAAAGTATTTAAATCAAATGCAGGTATGATTTTTTATACCCTAAGCTTTATGTTTATTGAGGTTGTATACACCTTGCTACGACAAAAATATGTGATTTTTGACCCCAAGTTTCTGTCTGTCTGACCCAAAATATCAAGTGGAAATGTGCCAAAAATATCGCATATTTTGGGATACCATTATTTGGGGGCTATACCAAAAATTTGACCGATATAATGGTAACATTTTCAATACCTAACATTCAAGGCGTAATAACAATTTATGCGTATAATTTTGATTTCATGCATGCGTATAATTGGAATATCTATCGAGAAGTAAATATTAGGATTATTAACCCTTTCAGTGTTTTTGTCGAATATATTCGACATTTAAAAGTAATCTCTTTCTTTGCGATTTTTCCGTTATCCTATGTACCGTTAGTATTGATGTTTTTGTTTTTGCTGAAAGACAGACACGTGTGCAATTTAAAAATTTTGCATTTTTAGACATTTAGTTTGTTTTATCATTTTTAAGCAAATAGTCATAATTTAGTTTGAAGTTTTGTAAAAACCCTCAATTTCTGAATCAAAAAAAATATATTTTCTGCAATCGGATAATATCGAAAAAAATTGTGAGTATTGTTACAAGTGTAAAGAAACCGTATAATAAAAACATAAAAACCAAAACAGTTTAAAGTTGCTTTTTAAGAGATTTTTTGGATTGTCATATATAATCGACATCGGCCTTCGAAGGTTGTTTTGTTTTTATTATAGTGATCGTACGTTTACTTGCAGACTTTAGTATTTTTCTTTTGATTCCCTTAGAAAATGACATCTGTAACTGACGATGACATAATGACTATGCTTGAAGCAGATTCTGATGTTGATGATGTAATCGATGATGATGATGAGGTGTTATTTGATGTGCCACAAGTCCGATCAAAGGACATTTTGCCAGTTGAACGTGAAGCTGTCTCTGATGAATATATTGATAAAAATGAAACAATTTCAGAGAGTCCCCAAGCGTATACTCCAAAAAAAAATAACTTGGCGTACAGTTCGAAAGTCCGAAGATGGTGAGGACATTCCACTCGTGGCAGTGTCAGAAACTACAAGCTCTATTGAAATTGGGACGCCGTTTTCATATTTCAATAAATATTTAACCGACGAATTCTTTTCCAATGCGGTCTATTATACAAATATGTATGCACAGCACGGGACAGATGTCATTCAAACCATGCTCTGTAGATGAACTACGCATTGTTTTTGGACATCATCTTATGATGAGCGTTCTAAAGTTTCCTAGAGTAGCAATGTTTTACGAATCAGCACTTGGAATAACTTTTTTACCGAAAAAATGACGCGGAGACGATTCTTCACCATTCGAAATAATTTACATCTTGTGGATGTAAACAGAAGCAAAGATCGGCTTTTTAAAGTTTCACCGATCATTGAATTAGTTCGAAAACGTTTATTAGAACTACCACTGGAAGAAAATCTATGCATCGACGAGCAAATCATTCCTTTTAAAGGAAAATTCGTTGCTAAGCAATACATAAAGGGGAAGCCGTGCCCGTGGGGCATAAAAGTTTTCTTTTTGTGTGGTAAAAGCGGAATGCCTTATGATTTTCTTGTTTACCAAGGTTCAACAACACCAATAAATCAAAACATGGTGAAAACTGTGGGATTCGGTTCAATAATAGTACTCCATTTAACACAACGTATTCCAAAAAATGAAATTGGGCATAAACTTTTTTTCGATAACTATTTCCCCTCATACCAATTATTTGAAATGTTGAAACGGAACAAAATTAATGCTGCTGGTACAATAAGAGTGAATAGATTCGCCAATCCTCGCCTGCCGGTTGAAAAAGAAATGAAACAAAAAGGGCGAGGATCATCCGCTGAATGTATAAGTGCAGATGGGAATGTTATTGTCACTCGCTGGTTTGACAACAGAACGGTAAATCTAGGCTCAAATTTTGTTGGAATAGGCAAACAAGACAAAGTCAAACGGTGGGATAAGAATAAAAATGATTTTGTAGTCATCGTTCGCCCCGAAGTTGTGCGGATGTACAATGAAAGTATGGGAGGCGTTGATTTATTGGATCAAATGATACAATACTATAGAATAAATATTCGTTCTGTCAATTGGACACTAAGAGTCATAATGCATTTTGTTGATTTGGCTTTAACTGCCGCATGGATGGAATATCGCCGAGACTGCTTGGCAAATAATATTCAAAAAAATAAAATTTTAGATTCAATGAATTTCCGAATTCAGGTTGCCCGCACTTTAGTCGGGGCTCAACAAGATTATAATCCAACCATAAATACGACACGAGGACGAGGAAGGCCACCAAAACCACCATGTGGTAGAGATAATACTACAGCAGATTCATCCTTAGATGGCAGTGTGAGTTCGGAAAGTGATTCTGAGGAATCTCCGCCTCCAAAAAAGAATAAGACATTTCAAAGACAACCACCGCAAGAAGTTCGCTTGGATCAGAAGCTTCATATACCATGTTTTGTACAAGCTAAAAGCGCTGGACGTTGCAAGGCAAATGGTTGTAAAAAGAATTCGTTCATTATTTGCAAAAATGCAATGTATATCTTTGTGTAAAACGAAATTCCAATTGTTTTGAAACATTTCATTCAAAGAAATAGATGCACAGATACATACATTTTTATTTTATAATGGATTAATTTTAGTTTTTTTTTTAACAAAATATTTAAACAAAAACACTAGTTTCATTTTATTCTTCATAAAATTAATGGAATATATATTTAATTTTATTTTTGTAAAATTCTGAATTAACTTTTATCGAAATAAAAATAAACCGTCAGAGTTATGTTAATATAAAATAGCACGTGTTTTTGGTGTCTCTGAGGGCCGATGTCTAATATATTCGACATTCGGAAACGAACCTGGCGGAAGGTTAAAATGAAAATGACTATTTTTTCTAAACTTTGTGCCTTTATATGATCTTAAATACAAAATTTTAGATTTTTATTCCGACAAAAATTTTTCTTGACACTGAAAGGGTTAAGTCACTGTAGATGTGTTCGTTATTCCCGGTTTGACCACCGTTTGAGGTGCTTTATTGCTCTTTGACCACAAACGTTTTCGCACAGGGTTATCGTATGTGATCCACTTCTCATCTCGAGTCACCATCCGTTTAAGAAATGGGTCTATCTCATTCCGTTTGGCCAAGGCTTCGCAGATGAAAATTCGCACCCAAACATCGAGCTTCTTCTTGAATCCAGCTTTGTGTAAATGGTTTAAAAATGTTTTATTGTCGATTTTTAGCTCTTGGGGGATGTTACGACTGCTAACATCCCGGTCAACTCCGATAATTTCTCCGATTTTATCGACATTCTCGACGATCGTCCTACCTGCGAGGTTCCGGAATGAAATCTACGAAACCAAAATTGCACATAATTGGCTCTTACAGTATCGGAACCATCTACATCTCTACATAGACGAGCTGAAGGGTCAGAGAGTATATATAGACGAACTGAAGGGCCAGTGAGTCTATGTAGACGAGCTAAAGGGCCAGTGAGGATATATAGAAGAAATGAAAAGCCAGTAAGTATATAGACGAACTGAAGGCCAGTGAGTTTACATGAACGAACTGAAGAGCCTGTGAGTCGAGATGTACAAAGTGAAGGACTAGTGACTCTATATAGACGAACTGAGGGGCCAGTGAGTCTACATGAACGAACTGAAGAGCCAGTGAGTCTATATAGACGAGCTGAAGGGCCAGTGAGTCGAGATAGACAAAGTAAAGGGCCGGTGTGTCAATATAGACAAGCTGAAGAGCCAAAGGGTCCACAGCATATATTAACGAGCTGAAGGGTCAGTGAGTCTATACAGATGAGCTGAAGGGACAATTATTCAATGTAGATGAGTTGAAGAACCAGTGACAAATAAAAATGCCATTAACTGTAACTCTTCATCATGAGGTGCACATTAAAAATACTTAAAATATTTAAGCACCCCTATATGACATGAATTAATTTGTAAATTGTCTTCACATAGATCTAACAATATTGACTTTAAATAATCACATCGAAAAAACACAAATAGCCCATTCTACAGAGGACACCCTTTTGAGAATATGCATAGAATCACATTCTGAGTAGCTCCCATATATAGTTTTGCCCGATTTTATGTAAATGGTGCACCAAACACCGAACGTTTGCCTAATTGAGAAAACAATTTTTCAGATTGGTTCAGAGTTACATATAGCTCCTATACATAATTTTGTTGGATTTCATACAAATGTTACACCAAAAAATCCAAGTCTGCCCGATTGACATGACATTTTTCATAGATTGCAGAATTTTATGTGTATGCTTTTTTATTGGTTCAAATTTCTATGTATATCACAGATTTTTTCTCCCGATTCTATTTCTATGATCTTCCAAGAACGCTATGTCTCTTCTATCTACAGGATATTGTACACATTATCATCTCTTGTATGTACGCAAAGAGGTGAAGGGTATCATATAGTCGGCTCCGTGCGACTTTTGATCTTTCCTTACTGGTTACATGTTACAGTCCAACCAAGTTTATGGCAAATTTTTAATGTCTGTGCAAATTTTATTAGCCTTTATTCGGCTATAAATTATCGCTCAATTTGGCATATTTTAAATAATAATGCCTATGCACTTATTCCCTAATATATGTTTTCAATTTTCTAAAGTAGTCATTTATTTATTCCCTAAAAAGGTCACATTTTCACTCCTTTAAGACGCTAAAAACGTTTTTATGTGCCATAAATTTCGTTGCAAACATTATTAATAAGAATATTTCTTTACTGAATTCTCGGTTTGGAAATAAAATTTATTATTCTGTCATGCATTATAATTTCAATGCATTTGCTATAAATTGTATATGTTCGACATGTCGAACGATTTCAAAGCGGCGAAAGTAAATATATGTCGGCCAGTAATGTTGTGCGAAATTGCACGTACGTATGTGGCATAGAAATGTATTTTGGAAAAATGTTTAACTTTACGATGTGGTTTCAAACAAAAACACGCACACATACAAAAGGCACAATACCACACCACTACATAAAATGTTACTACCACCATATATAAATTTGCATTCAAATTTTTGTATATATTTACTATATACCAAACAAAAAAGCAACCTCCCATTCACATTTTGCTCACATTAATGTTGGGGGTATATATATGCGATAAAGGCTATATTTGACGTCCATTCATGTAACGAAATAAGTAAAAGAGTAACACACCATATACAATGAACATAACAGTCATGGTATGCTATACAAAAAGAGGTGGGAAAAATATATAAATAAAAATCAAATGAAATGAAATAAAAAGAAAAACAACAAATATAAGAAAAATAACATTACAAGGCAGAAAAAACATAACCGCCTAGAAATTGCCACCGTTTTGATAGTTAGTGTTGTAGGGTTGCAACTAAAGGACACTCTGATGGCGGTGATGATGTCGAAGTAATGGTAATAGCCAGCCACGCCTGTAGTTGTGTAAATTACACCAACACACACACAAATAGTCAAATATGTGGTATGCAGTGGTGTACATTTGTTATCTTTGCATTAAAATCACAGCCAGAAAAATAATATATACAAATCGACAGTGAAAACTAATTTCGCAGAAGTGGTTAACGCCGTTCGACCGAAAACGTTTAAGAACTAGAGGTAGGGGGTTTTATCCACTCAATATTCAAGGCACAATATTCGACAAGTGTTGGAGGAGGAACTATGGAGATTTTTGTTTAAAAATTGTAATTTAGCTTACAAAGGGAAGATCATATAGACAGAGGAAAAATGAATAATATATAACCACAAAAGGAGAAGCAGAACTTTAATTGAAGCTTGAATACATTGTATGAAAGTAATTAGGAACTTAACTATTTTAGGAAATTGACCTCTAAAAGCAGTAGCTTTAAATGTATTACATGAAGTTTCAAATAAAATCATATATCTTGTTAAAAAAGTTTGTCTCAAAAATATTTTTATATCGTACGCCACATAGTGGTGCACTGTTATTATTCAAGTGTTAAATTATTGGTAGAAATACTTTTCCACTCCAAACGAGTAACCTCCTAAACAAGGGCATCTAAAAGTTTCAATATCATATTCTGGTAACGAACATCGTTGGAAGCGCTCCTTTCTTTAAGTGCGGATATAAAAAGTTATTGCTATCCATTTTAAGGCTCTACGACAGATAACCCATTCCATTTTTTTTTTGTAATTAAAGAAAAGTCCTTATTTTTGATGGCGGGCATGATAACTCCTCACTGGAACATCGGTATCCGAAAATTCCAACGGTGTTAGAAAGAGTACATGTCTGGCTTTCGTATGAACTAGGATTATTGACTTTGCTCTAAAATTAACAAAATGGTGGACATTTGAAAAATGTCCTAGTTCATACGAGAGCTATACACTCCCACGTTGCAAAATTTGGATCACGTTGCAAAATTTGGAACCGATTGGATTATTAGTTTTTGAGTTATCGTGCCCGCCATTCGCAAAAAATGTTTAGAGAAAAACTCGTTTAAAGTTTGAGAAACCCTTCAGCCGTCACTTGATGCTGACACAATAAATCGGCTATATCTTCAAGAGTTATTGAGATTTTCACTTGAAATTTTGTAGAGACATTCTTTAATCAGTGTAGATTCGAATTATATCGACCCCGAGAATGGGGGGTCCCCTTAAATGAAAATTAACATATTCTATCATAGACTCAATTCCATACGATATTCAAAATTATATATACAACAAATTTATGGAGTTTGGTGCGTCATTTACATAAAATCGGAGGAAAATATATATTGTAGCTATATCTAAATCTGAATCGATTTCAACGAAACTATAAACACGTCATTACAGCCCTAATTCGGCACGCTGTGCAAACTTTTGTCTCAATCGGATAAACGTAGAGTTTTTGGTGCACTAGTTACTTAAAATCGGGCGAATATATGGTAGTTATATTTAGTTATATCTTAACCAATTTCAACAAAATTTGAAACCCTTTAGTCTACACTTATTTTGGTATTCAGTGTCGTGTCAATCGGACAAACGTGGGAAGTTTGGTGCACCATTTACAGAAAATCGGACAAAATTATATATGAGAGCATATCTAAATCTGAATCGATTTTAACAAAACTTTATACACGTAATTGCAGCTTCAATTAGGCACGATGTGCAGAAATCGGACGAAAATATATCAGGCTGGGGAAATTTTTTTATCATTAAATAAATTTTGCAATGCAAGAAAAGTTTATAATTGCTTGATGCCAAGTCCGAACTGTATGGCGGATACATTAAAACTTTCCAACCAATCTCCCGAAGTTTCTGGTGAGTCACTGTAGATGTGTGTGGCCTAACGTTGGCCTGGTGGAACATGACACCTCTCATGTTGGCCAATTCTGGCCAATTGCTATCTTCAAACACTTTAGTTGTTGACAGTAGCAATCAAAATTTAGCGTTTGGTCAAATGGAAGCAAAACACGAATTAAATGGGCCGTAATTTAACAAAAAGTAATTTCAAAGGAAAAACTCGAGATAAAGAGCCGTCGTGGACCTTTAGATAACAGAAGTGATTTTAAGACAAACTCGC